TATAAGTTATTGTAATGCGTCTATGTTTTGGAGATATTTTTTTTAAACTACGCCTACTGATTAACAAGCCGATAAAAAAAAATCAAATGGTATACAAAACCCTACTATCTGGGTACTTGAAATCCTTTCAACACGTCTGCGACGACCAGACGTTCAATCCACTTGACCGGAATTCTTGATCTAGGTAATCTCAGACAACAGTTGTACGCACAATGGGCCCGATCACCATGTTATTGGGATATTGGTTTTTTTTCTTTATCCGACGATGTCTGTAGTTCCTGTGAATAATAATTTCATCAACAATTTGCTTAAGCAATGAAACATTTTTTCAATGTGAATCGATGAGTTTCTCTTTTTAGATTTCAAATAATAATTATAATTATAATAATATGAGATTTTTATAATATTATGCTGTTAAAGTAGCTCAATATTTTGATGAATTTCTACACTTTGAGAAGTCGACGACGGGCGAAGTTAAGGAAGTAATACATGAACCGAAGTGTTTGTTCGACCACTGTACAACGACGTTTAGTAATAGAAATATTAATACAATAAGTTTAAATCGGTTTTTTTTATGGTATTTCACTTTATATCTTAAAAATGGGTTATCAATTGAGCATGTTGAAAATCATACTATTGTTTAATTTTTTAATATACCTAACAAAATATGATACGAAGAAACGACACATAAAATTGTGTACATTTATAAGTTACATTTTTTACGCGGTAATCTGGTGACTGGTAGGTTTAAATACCTATTACCTATTATTTATTAGTTATTACTCAATTTTCTAAAGCATATTACTTTTTTAAAATATAAATTCAATTTAAATTTATTGTTCTCTTAAAGGTAAATCGTATTTTATTCGTTTCTTTCAAACGACTTCTTAGTATTGGCAGTACTGCTATCATCGACCATTTTCCTTCCATACTTAGAAAATAAATGGGTACCTGCACTTATTATAGTGATTATGCATTTATGCCATATTATAAAATATTTGCATTAATATCATATTAACTCAATACGAAAATACTACCTAGCTATTTATCTACAACTATACACGCCTGCAATAATATAATTATTAATTATATTTTAATTTCATTACAGAAATTATTGTATTAAGTCGTATGAAAAAAGTTGATTTATTGTCTTGTGCATATTATATTGTTTACATATTATTATACTATCTACTATTGTTGAACATTCGCTAAATAGAAATGCTGTGGAATTAAATAATATCATAATACCCAATAATGTGTTTATTTATCAGTAATAATATGGCGTCATACTATGCCGGAACTATTATACGGTGAAAAATACTAAATATTTTCAAAACTTGTTGACACTTTCCTTAAATCAGCTATTAAGACTTGTCGACCTTGCTATTATAGTACACACAATAATATTATAAGTTGGTCTAATAACCTCGTTTTGAACTATAAAAACATTTATATTAGGAAACAAGGACTATATAGCATGGTCATAATAACATTTCTTTTACACCAGAAATTTCTAATCGTATCATATTAATGCAGTATTTAGTTGAGTACATCAAAACTCAAAATACTACTATACTACAATAATACCTACCCTTAAATCTTAAAATTGTTATTGAATCGTGATAACTCATAATACAATATAATATATAAAGCAGTTGAAGTTAAGTTTATTGCAGTATTGTTTAAACAACAGTCGGTGTATTATTATTTATGAAATAAATAGTTTTCACGATTTGTTTTTGAGATTTTGCAAAATGTTTTTATTTTCTAGGTACTTTCAAAATGAATTACAAATAAAAAAATTGCGAAAAAAATATCTCCTCCTTGTGGTGCTAAAATGTATCATCAGTCGAATCTTGGATTTCCCATTCTAGATTTTTAGTCCTATGTTACCTATACATGATTAGTGAATCAATTTTGTGTTGAATATTAATTTTACTGTTTTCTTTCGCAGATTTTGTTTTAATTCTAACCGTCAATATAGTATTAGGTACACAACATTTAAGTAGCAATTATTTAAAGCCAATATACCTACTTCAATTGTTTTAATTATTGAAGACAAAAATCTGAGCCTTCTAAATTATTTAGGTACACAGAAATAAATCAGTAACAGAAAACAATTTAAATCCGTAGAAATATATATATATCAATACACATTTTCTTATAGGACATTAGCATAATGTGTGTAAATAATGCTCAATTACATTCGATTCTAATTATATATTAAGGATTGTTACATATTAGTTATAATAGATATAGTTAGTGTGAAAAATGAAAACAGTAAACATATTAAAATACCTATTTATTTTATAATATTATAGTATGATAACTGTTTAAAAATTAAATTAAAATTATAGACGTCTACTTTATGATTTGATTTTAAACTATACAAAGCAAAAATATATTATTTACAATTTATATCGAGAAATTAATTCTTAATATCTAGTACTTCCATGTCAACTGTCAAGTGTTCTGAATTATATACTTGTGTCTGGTAAAAAAAGAGTTGGGTCAAGACTATAATATTGCAATGATCGTCCGTTAAAAATAGACTCAATCGGATCAATGATATTATGTTGATAATTCGTAAAGAATTTTATAATTATAAAAATTAATATAGTAATTAATTTCATAATGATTATTTAAAAAAAATATGAATAATATATTGAGTATAATAATCAAAAATTAATTATAACTCATAATGTTCTAAATATTATCGGTATAGTATATTATCTAGATGCTATACTAAAATGAATATTATTGGAATAGAACAATAAAACACATTATTAAACGCAATATACCTATATCGACGAGAATTTAATAACATATTATTGTACTCGACATAGGCATAGTTGGTTTATATTAATCGTATTATGTTACGTTTAAGTCGTTTAAATCATGCCATTCCCATGGCAGTAAGTAATAACACATATAATTACATTTTTAACACATGACTTTATAAGATATGATTTTAATGACACTTAATTTTATGACCCATATCTATACGTATACCTTTACTATACAATCTATACTGATTATTGTAAGTTCAAAGTAGGTAAAATGTTATTTGGGATATTATTTTTTGAATGTTATACCAGAAATATAAACTATAATATTTATTTATATATTAATGCCCTCTAAATTTTAATATATTTAATCCTCTAGTGCAATGCCTAAGTTCTTATCGTCTCGTACCAATTGATCAAGTCACGAAGACGATGATGGTTGAATCTTGTATAGATTATGCAGTGGCAGAGGCGGGGAGGTTATAGGTTATACCCCCCTCTTCCCCGTCTACACATTAAGCCCCTTATTTGCGTCTTTAGTAATACAACCACATTGTATTTAAAAGAATTATTATTTATTACTTATAAGTAGGGCCCGGAACTTGATTCATTTGCATCTTTTTTTCTAATATTTATTTTCGGGGCTAGCCTTTACATAAATTTGATTTATGGAATATATAATTTAATGGTACGGTTTTTATTTTGCGTTTTTAGGGAATCTTATGATATTGATCGTAATGTTTTAGTATTTTTGGTGCATTTTATCAATTTGTATAGTTTTTTTTTTACATTTACTTGCATTTTTCTTCCTCTTTATCGACCTCCATACATCAATATCGTTTGCTGTCTCCCTGTACGATCATTTAATAAATTGTAGGCATATACTGTTCTAAGCCAAGTGCACAGGTGTGTTATTTTGATGTGCCGTCTCCCCTGCATTATCGTAATGAGATCCGACAGTTTACTGATACGCACACAACACTCGTCGGAGTGTTTGACGTTTTACGGCATTATGGCATTATTGTGGCATTGTGCCAATCTCAAATGTAGAAGTCGAAAGGAGTTGTTCAACTTATACAACTTTATTAACGGACAGTTGCCGATTTTTTTATTTGAAAATATTAAACACACATTAATTCGTTCAGTGTAACAGATTGATTGTTTAAAAGTATTTAACACAACGTAAATTTACACTTTGCAAAAAGTATATTTTTAAAAATGTTAAATCATAATGTAATTTATGGTATTTTTTTGGACATTTTTTGATATTTATAAGTCATTTTAATAATTGTTGAGTTAATTTATTAAAAATCTATACGTCATCAAGTTCCGGGCCCTACTTATCGCATGCCCCTCTCTCATACCAAATTTGTGGGCACTGTTGTATACCTATAATGTGTATATATGTAGGAATGTAGCGTAGGATATAGGATATGGTTATACCTATAAATACCTAACCTAATTATTTAATCTGATCAACATATTATATTATTACAGTCTGTATACTCTATAGTAAAGTACCTTGATCGACGAGCGATAAATGTATTCGTTTTGTTCAATCCATGGTTATTTATTTTCTTTACAACGCTTTCAGCATAACTCCAAGATTTTTATCTTTGATATTTTTGGAAATTCAACATACTACTATCCGTATGGTGACAATACGATTCAATACGATTTGTACTGTGTAAAACGAATACCAGTCAGTTGATAAGTGTCTAGAACAATAGCGTTTATTATATAAATTACCTACTGTAAATAAAAAAAGAGTCAGGTATAACTTGCCTGTGAAATATGTGCACGGTGTTTATTAATTTAATACAATTTTATCGGCAGCAGTTGTATTATAGGTGATGAAATAATTATTCTAAATCCTTACGGTAGTATTCGTAAACAATCGAAATGTCTAATGGAGCTCGTGGTCCGTAATGTCCGTATTGTACTTACTACCCATTTGCCTGTTATACCGTATGTAGAAGTATTTCCTCTCAGAAAATTCTGAACACGCCGCTGAACACCGGTCCGGCCCGGACACATAATTTTTATCAACGTTACACTATCACACCAATCATATCAATTCCGCACGTGGTACACGCTAGATGGCGCTAGCGCGTCGGCAAATTTACACCCTCCCCACCCGCCCGCCGACCCCGGAGCCAGACGCGCCGGATGCACACACGCACGTCCGACGACGCGACGGTCGCCGTACACGCCTCGGCATCAGCAACAGGTCGTCGGTCTCTCGCGCGCGCTCGTACGTTCCTCTCATTAATATCAGACGCGCCCGGCAAACGAATCAGTCCCCACGTTGCGTCCGTGTCCACGCGTGTGTGTGGTTTTTTTTTTGTGTATGTGTGTCTGTGCATCTATATTCCCTAATATCATTATAATATTGTTTGCTAATAATTGATATTGTCATCGTTACGATCGCGCAAGACGATATTTTCATTAATTGTTGCACCGGAAAATGTGAGACGAACGATTCGCGTGTTCACTCCGAGTTCAGTGCGATCCGCTTACGCGATATATCATTATTATACACCACATACGGCAGCGGACATCGCGTCAACACCCTGCTACCACCCCACGATATACCGCAAATACCTACGTGAAATCGCCCAGTGGTTTGTCGTCCGCGTTTGTTTGCGATTTTCAATTTTTTTTTTTTTTCCCCCATCAGTTTTTTGAGTTTTTGTGCCGGTATATTAAACGTCCCGCCGTTTTCCAGCTCTCGCGTCGCCCCCGTGTGAGAAAAACGACATAATATCATTCGACAGAAGCCGCTGGAGAACATGACCATGTCCTGTCAAGACATGGACGCTTTGGGCATATACATGGAGCTTAAGCTCGACCCATTCATAAACGAAGACATGAAAGACCTCTGGGACTCGGATTTGGATCAGGTGATTAATGATTACATATTATATTATTTGATTTTCCACCTATATGCACAATGCAAGTACCTAGTATACGATTTTTACTTTTTTTTGCTTCTTTCGAAAACTGTCGATTGCGTTGTTCAATAATAAGCTGTGAGGCTACAATAACGGCCAAACGATGTGTCCACCCGACCAGCTAGGTATTTCCGTTAGAAAAATGCGTTGTCTTTGTGCACGCAATACCGAATATAGTTTTCTTTCCATCGTAATATACTGTTCGAAAAACACTCAAACGTACATATTATTTCGTGCAATATAAAGTATATACACATACCTATATATTATTATCTATAGTTACAAACAACAGGAAATTAAAATCCAGCTGATAGTGCACAATGTTGACCAAATAACAGAAAAAAAAATCAAACAGTCATCGAGTACATTATTTTGCAAAACTAAATCGGCCGTATCACATTCCACAATCACATAATATATTATACTCCTATATACCTATATATTGTTTTGTGTGTACAGTTATAACTTGTAATATATACAGGAAGCTTGTACATAATAAAGAATGTATCAAAGTACCTATAAAAAAAATATATTAAAATCACCATCGAGCTCGAAATAACTAAAAATATAATATAATCCCTCGATATCAGCGATCGAAATGTGTTCAATAAATTAATATCCTTGCAAACATTTTAATCGGTCGTGTTTTTAATGAATCATATGAATTTCTGGTTTGACACAGAAAACGCCCACGGAAGGAAAAGTCCGTTCAGCGTACCAATATATAATAAATATAGGTACCTCTACCTACCTCATACATAATTTAACCGGGACGCGTGTGTGTGTGCAATTTATATACTTTTATGTTCATTGTATATATATATTATAAATTACAACTGCCAGTATTATAATATTATATTCCATTAAAAATTTTAGAAATGTCATTATTGATATAGTGTGAATATCATTATATTGAGAACATAAACCTTTTCTTACTATTTTATTGTAACATAATCATTTTCATTTTGCATAGAAATGAATTTAGCAATTAATATGCCCAATGTGTTTTTATGCATATTTTAACCGGGCGTGTGCCGCACAGAAAACCAGTTTTATAATAGTTGGATTAAAATTTAAAATGTCTCTCTATAACATACCGGCCCGTTGCGTTGAACTACCGCTGCGGGAAATTTCCGATTTTAATAACCGAAAAAAATATTTAATTAATGAACATTGGAGTCGATATATTTACATAACATATAAATACATCTTATCTCGAGCACTATTTATGCGATACGTGTGACCTTGAGTCGGTAGAATTTTTTATTGAATGTAGTATAATATGTACCTACTATTGTGAACATATTAATATGCGCCTGCATAGAAAACGACATTTGAAAGTTTGATCATTCTTTCACCTACACTTTCTTCATGGATCAAAGTGACTGTCAGTGATACAAGGGAATGTTTAATTTCTCGTGCACAATTATGTAGAATAAAAAGTGGTACTATATTATTATTTATGTGATTATTATACTATAGTTTGTCATGTTTTAATTTGTTTTTCCGTAGTTAACCAAAGCCTTAAAGGTGGCGATGACAATAAGGCCAGGATTTTATGTACAACAAAAACTTTGAGGAGTAGTTACCACTAAAATATTATATTTTATATTATGCTCTTACGAATATTCAGTGTGAACACATTTCTAATTATTATATTATTATACTCGTTTTATCAATCCGTCGGCCTTTGAAACTGATATAACTTATACAATATCAATTAAATCGTAATCAATTTTCGTACTCTCGTATTGTGCATCTTCAGCAAATAGAGGTATCTATATTGTATTACTCAGAAATAGTTAGGTATCTCCCATAACGTATTTCTATTATATTTGCCAGTGAACTTTTTAGTAACGCAATAACAATGTAATAATATAATTTAGGCTGTAAAATAATGTGCGATAATTAGATTATAACATCCATTACAATATACGGGTGTTTCCGAATCGGAATATAATGTAGTCCGACATGCGCTGGGGTCATGCACTTCGAGCTCGCCTTTATCTATTAAACGGTTTTAATCATAATTTATATAAAAAAAAAAATTAGTCCATGGGGGAGCCCTTATCGTATAGAAATGGAGTTCTTTATGTTATGATGTTTTATTCCTCGACGAGGCTAATGAGGGCTACTTTCTATCCGGGTCGTTTTATTGCGTTTACCACCCGCGCGAGATTTGCCCGGTTTTTATTTCCTACGAGTGGCGTAGAACTCGCCGATAATAATACGAACGTTTAAACGTTGTATGAGCCTCACATTGTCATTACCTAATGTGAGTTGGCCAAATCGCTGCGAATAATAATCGTGTTGCCTTTCGCAAAAGTCGTTAACATAATATCAACAGCGTTATAACGGGCACGTGTGTAATAATAATTTAGTCACTGTACCGCAATGCAATGGAGGAGGCCCTCTTGACAAAAATATATTCGGTTGATAAATCGGCTTCGAGTAGTTCTTCGAAATCTCGACATCATAACATTAAATAGTATCCATTATCTGCGTGAAAAAAAAAATACTATAATAGTTGCTAATGGTCGTAGGAATATTACTCATAGCGTGTGCGGCTTCCAAAGAAGAACAAATATTACTTTTTTTTTTTTATTATTTACAAAACTGATATCCGACAAACGGATGGTATCTGCATTCTGTACCCATACGAGTTTACTTACCTAAGTGCGCGTGTACAGTCAGTGTACACGGTTCTTGGTATAATTTATATATTATATATAGGCACGTAATATACTCCTTTTGTTCCGATTGTCTCATTTTTGTATTTTTTTTTTTGTTTTTGCGAAATCACATTTATACATTACAATACCTATACACTTTACAATGCATAATGCGGGTCGACATAATAATATTACGTTATGCGCATTGGAAAAACTACAAACATTTTTGCATTCAAATCATGGCCGCCACAGCCACCCACCTCCCGTTTGCGCCGCCATAGTCGTTCTGTATAATCGCGTGCACTTTCCCTTTTTTTTCCAGCCGTTTCGCATTACAAACGATGACTGGTCGAAATGATCGAATTACCGATTTCCGGCAAACGTCGTGTAGGCGGGCAAGGCGACACAGTTTTTTACCGGCATATTAAAAATGCATTTTCATTATTACTCTGATGCTGCACAGTGAGATGCATGTGTTTCGTTTTTTAAAAATACGGTATTATATTATGTTTGTCTACAAACGGTTTTTCGGATCGAAGGAGTTACCGAATGTTTAACGAGGCATTATGATAATATATTTTAAGCCTTAAATGAAGTATATATAGAGTATTAGAGTCTATGAAAATGAAAATGTATTTTTTTACATCCTCTAATGGTGTCTTACCAAAATCGGCTCAAAATCTTCGGTGAAATGTTGCAATTTATTGTTTCTTCTGTCTTTATATAGGTACCAGGTACACTCTACCCTGTGGGGAGGTGAACGAAACCAGACGAGTGGGTAACGCACATGGAATTTTTCACTAGCGCAGTTTACCTGTACATGGCTATATATTACATATTTTGACCTCCCTTGTCAGACATTCCTTGGCTGTACATATTTTCAGTCACAAATACGATGTCATTGATATAGATTTGCCTCTTTCTGTCCTCCATGGTATGCTCGCATGCAGCCTATCGTTGTGGATGAAAACAATATTTCTAGTTATTGCAGTCGTCACAACAAGCCGGGAAATTCGTTTTCGCGGTAATTTGACCGCGAAATCATTAGTATAGATGATGTTTTGGTTTCCCGCTGATCGACTGCAGCGGTAACGGCGACAGTTCTTTACAATGATGTAGTTGTAACTCGTAATTACCGTTAAATATGTCTTGCGAAACATAAGATTTGTCTTCTCTATAGTAGTGGCCCACTTTCTGCGCGAGTTCGTCTAGACGATTACATTATCTCCATACCCCTGTGTTGTGAAAATATTATGATAACGTATAATATTTTTATGAATTATTACGATTAAGTTTCCCATATAATTGTGCTATTATTACATATTATAATATATTAATATTAGGTACATAGATGATAGTTAATAGTGATGATTGATGAATGATATGGTGGAAGATCTGCGTTTATATTTACTATTTTAAACTCGCAGTGGATTGCGAACAGCGCGATTATAATTGTTTTTAAATTATTTATCTTTAGTGCGCGGGTATTTACAATCTATAAACCACATTGCACTAAAATGCACATTAATCAAATGCAATGTCCATATTATATAACGAGAATATTTAAATGATATGCGTCATGCGTATGTTTCCGTTTTTTTAAAACATTCAATTAAATAAATGATAATCATTAACTAGGTATGGTATAGATTACTTTATTTATAATTTTAAAATTATATTGATAATTATTGTTTAGGCGGATCCTCGATTCATATTGTTTATTTGTTGTACCCTATTGTTCTATACCGTGTACTGGGTAGGTATGTTCTGTAGTAGTTTATCATGTAAAATTAAACACACTAAAGCTAGATACCTAATAATTAGTTGAGGTATTTAATAAATTGATTGTAAATAGTAACCTTCATGATGTAGAATAATCTCTAAAAAAATAATGAATCAGGTTACATGCGGTAGATTGGAGTATAGTTGTTACTTAAATCTAATATTAACTGAAAAAAAATGGCATTTATGTACAAAAGAGTTTCACTTATACTCGATAATTGATGTATAATGTATATTCGTTGAACACGAGTTTTTTTTTTTTTATTAAGCTTTTACCCAGTCTCGATCATTTCTCGGATTAACAAATAAAAAATTGTCCGTCCTTTCAGTGTGCTTATTTTTCAACTCTGTAACCGGTTAGTAAGAATCAGTTATAATAACGAGTTAACATTTATTTTGGGATTTTACTGTATATTTAAAGAAAAAAATAATTCTTATTTAGTGACATGTCCCAAATACGAGTTTTATAAATGATCGTTTAAATAACACGGACGA